TCCTGGGCAGCGAGACCTCATATCTACAATAAATCAAAAAATCAGCCGGGCGTGGTAGCGCATGCCTGTAGTTCCGGCTACTCGGAAGGCTGAGGCGGAAGGATCGCTGGAGCCCAGCAGGTAGAGGCTGCGGTGGCTGGGAGCGGCCACTGCACTCCAGTCTGAGCGACTGAGTGATAGTCCAACTCAAAAAAAAAAAAAAAAATTTATAGCTGAGTAGAACATAGTTGAAATTGCTAGAAGTCTAATGTGTAGACAGTTCTATTAAATCCTACCTTTCAGAGTCTTGTTTTTAAACTTAGAATATTTGAAGAATCTTGATATCATGTAGTCTCTTGAATTCTCATTGTGAAAATTGTCTAGTTTTAGGTAGGCACTAGGTAAACATTTTTCCTAACAAAAATATTTTTAGAGGTTCTCCCTATCACATTTTTCTTCTTTACTCTTTCCTTTCCTTCTCTTGCCTATCTGTTTTTTCTGCTTTCCCCAGAGTGATCAGAAAGTATCTTGATAACATTTGGTGCCCTTCATATTAAGAAACAAATCCTTGTAACAAGAAAGACCAGTGAGTATCCTTTCAATGATGAATTTCTAGACACACTCTGAAAAATCAGTGAGTGCACAAACTGACTACATTTTTTTCATTAAATCTTTTTTAACTTTTAAAAAAATTATTTTATTTTTTATTTTAAAGATGTGGGGTACAATTCAGGATTAGGTTTACAAGTGGTCATTGTACAGGTAAAGTTTGGGCCTCTCTTTGGTTCCTACTTTGCCTGGTTTGAGATCAGATACCTTTATTGATGTTGTGTTCCCCCCACCCATCCACCCTGGCAATATCCCACTACTGCCAATCCCTGTCTTATAGTATATTGGTAAATGTTCAGGGTCCGTTTATGAGTGAGAACATGTGGTACTCTGTTTTTTGTTTCTCTAATAGTCCACTGAGTATGATAGACTCTAAATACATTCGAGTTACTGTGAAGTCCATATGTTTGTCCTTCTTTATGGCAGTATAATATTCCATTGTGTATAAATACCACATTTAAAAAATCCAATCCAGTTTCGATGAGCAGCATGGTTGGTTCCATGTTTTTGCTATTGTGAATAGTCCTGCAATAAGCATGCATGTGCAGGTATCTTTTTAATAGAATGATTTTACTTCCTCTGGGTATATTCCCTGTAAGGGGATTGCTGGGTCATATGAAAGATCAGTGTCCAAGTCATCATTAAATTTTTCCATGACAGTGTTGCATGTAGTAGAGACCACCTTGCCTTGAGGCCATGTGTGCATTTCTGTGCTTTGTGTTTTTCTGGTCATAATGTTTTTAGAGAATTAACAGATTCTGTTTGGACACTCTGAGACACACTTACATATGCTTGAAGACTAAAGATACACTAAGATGAAGTGTCATTAAAATAGTTTGAAATGTTTGATTAATTGCTACTAAATTTTTTGAAGCCTATGAATTGAATACCTGTAAGCGTAAAAGATTCAAAAACAATGTTGCCCACATCTGGAAGCTCAGATCTTCTTGGGAGAGACACCGGAAGCAGGGATGTAGCAATTGGAGCTGATAGACATAGCTCCAGGACACCGCTGTTATTAAGGTAATTTAAAGCCCTTCCTTGCTTCCTGTTCTATGCCACATTCTCATTAGTGCCTGTTACCAGGAGTCTCTGATTCTGAGGAAGCACACTGTGGATATCAATATACAGGTAGGCATCCATTTATAATTTATTTAATTTTTTTTTACTTTTTATTTTCTTATTCAGAAAGTTATTTTTTAATTGAATGAGCTCAAAATAGATAACTAGATAAACCAAAGAAGGAACTGAGTATAGGTTTTTGAAACCTCCATTTCCTTACCTGGTATGGGGGAGTTTCATGAATCAAGGGAAACTTTTTCATTTTTTTTTTTATTTGGAGTCTCACTCTGTCACCCAGGCTGGAGTGCAGTGGCATGCTCATGGCCACTCCAGTGTTGACCTGCTGGACTCCAGTGATCCTTCCACCTCAGTCTTTCAATCAGCCAGAACTACAGGCATGTGCTACCACACCTGGCTAATCTTTTTTTTTTTGTAGATATGATGTCTCACCATATTGCCCAGGCTGGTCTCAAACCCGCAGGCTCAGGCAATCCTCTCGCCTTAGCCTCCTAAAGTGCTGGGATTACAGGCTTGAGGCACTATGCCTGGCAAGGGAAACTTTAAAGACATCAAAACTAACTACTTCATTTGGTTCAAATTTTATAACATCATTTCCCCGGTAGCATTTTGAGAAAATCTGCTTATCCACCTTGATTTATTACTTTTTCTCTTTTTTCCCTCATAAGATATTAAATTTCTATTTTTTAATGTGATGATCAAATAAACAATTGTTTACCAGTTGCTTTTGTTAACTTTCTTCACTTATTTCTTTTTAATTAGACAGTACCGATTTTAAAACAGAATTTGTAATTCAGAGCATGTGGTCATCTCTTTTTACAACACATTTATCTTGACCTGTGCTTCGTTTTGACTAATCCTCACTGTCATCATCCTGCCAGCCATGCTTGGGCACCCCCCTGGATAAACCCATCTATAGATTGCTGTGGAAACACAACAGCTGCTATAACACCCTAACCCTGGAAGGCCTTCATGAAAATGGACTTCTTTGTCTAGGTCCACCGGGTGACCCTGCTCTCTTCCAACAGACATGCAGACACAAATAACACATACTTATCGATACATACAAATAACTTGCCCCATCTCATAAAAACAAACAAAACCCCTCAAGTCCCTGGGTCCTTTTAGCCTGTGCTAGTTCCGTTCTATAAAGTATCTAATAGCAACTAGTAGAACAAATATTACCTCCTCCTGAAATAATACACCATCTGGGTGTTTTTATTTTCATGTTTACTAAATCAGCATCCCAGGGGGACATTTTTAAGATTCTCCCTCCCTGTCCCTCCTTCCTTCTTTCTCCCCCAATCAGGAGTGACCTCCAAGGGAGCTATGGTTAAAAAACAAACAAACCAAAAAAAAAAAAAAACTGAAATCGAATTTTTCATTGCTGTACTAGTCTGGAAAAATCTAGTTCTGAATGTTATTTACATCTGCTGGGTAGACACCTTTAGGAAAAAATAATAAAAACTTAATTTAAAATAGAACTGCACCGTTTTAAAATTATTATTCATTCACAGTATAAACACCTGGCTAAATTTAAGTAAATATATATATATATATATATATATATAGGACCACTATTATCTCTTTTGTTCTTTGGCATTTCAAACAGCTTAAATATGGAGTACAATATTATTAGCTTCGTGTCATGAGTTACATTAGCTGGATGCACCTGGTTTGAAGGAATAAACTCACAACAGCAAAAGGATCAAATTTGGGTGATGGGGGAACAATGTGGGGATTGAGACTCCTCTTTTCTCCTCCAAAGATCTTGTTCTTACTACACATCACTTGTTGCTGGCCAAGAAAACCATACAAGGGTCTCGACTGTGGCCACTAGGTGTCGACCATGGTCTGTACAGAAACTTGTAATTCACTGCTGGCTGCCAGAGGAGCCTAGGATGACTTTTTTTTTATACAAGAAACAAAAAATACCCACGACCAACTAGAAATGAATGGGGAAAATGCTGACATTCCCTTTGTACCATTTATTTCTCTGCTCTCTGGAAAGCTCAGTGATTGTTGGTTAAAATCGTTCAGTCCAAATATAGGAGGACATAGGGCTAAGTTGTGTAATTTTTGCAGAACTGCAGGTACAGCTTTGTAGATATGTCCTTAGGTAGCTGTCTTACCATATAATACTGGTTATGTTTCATAGAAAAAAATAGAAACATAAAACATTTAAGCTGTAAGCAGTTTGCATTGTCGTTTACTATTATAAAATCATTATCTATGAAATCAAGATGTAACTCAATATACATAGAATTTTAATTTCTAATACATTGTTAGATCTCAGCACTTAAAATTTGCATCTGCTATTTTAAATTGTTTAAACTTGTTCTCCCTCAAAGAACAGTAACATGATCATGTTCTAATTAATAATATTTGCATATCATTAAACGT